GATCACGAGTTGATCGAAGGGTTGTTATTTGGTGCGAGAAAATGTATAATCCAATTGACAAGTTGAAATTCGTTTAAAATATATACGTCAAGCTTCCAAACTATGAGCAACAGACCATTAAATTGAGAATGCCGATATGAAAAGAAGTATTTCAGTGATTTAACAGTACCCATAAAATTTGCAAATATTGTTAACAAATGAAGATGAAAAATGGCATTTAGTTTTTCGTAAATAACTCAAAAACTGTCAATACTTGAGAAATAAAAATGAAGAGTACTGGAAAAGGGGGAAATTTACAATGGAACGTCCCAATTTCCAAAACTAGGGCCTCGCACACACGTTGCGGTATTGGACGCATTGCCACTGAAGAAAGTGCAGCATATGAAATATTATTTGTAATAAATATCAATTTTGACTTTCAAACCTCCATTTCAACAAATGGTGACATAAAAGTTCAAATGATAGGATTTAAATTTTTTTCTTACGTGAAGCTCTTACCTGGTGTAAACTGATTCAGGCTCGTCCTCATAACTATTTCGTGTCTCCTGGCATCAATGTGGAATTTCGTTGGTTAGCATAGTACCACTATTAGGATTGAGTGGATCAAAAAGTTTTTTTGTATCATTTTTAATTTCACAGAAAATTATCCCAAATTTGGAGTTTCAAACGGAACTCCCTCTATTTAAGGAACAATGACTGTTTCTTTATAATAGATAACAAGAAATAAGTATTCATTTTTAGGCCAAGTTGAGGCGTTTTATAAAGTAGGTACTGCTAGCTAATATGCCTCACTTGTTTTACAAAATATTCTACATTCATATTATTGTGTATATGGTAATATAATGCAACTAAAAATGAACTAAAAATTAAGGAAATCCAAAGAAATGAACTTTCTGTTCATTTGCTTTGTGAAAATTCCTGCACTGACGCCTGTCGGATATAATCCAACGCCGTTCGTGGTATTGCCACTGCAGACTGTGCAGGTATATCCGAGACTGGCTTGAACATTTAAAGTTAATTTATTTAGATTTGTTTCAAGCATAGCTCACTGACTAATGAGTAAAAATTAGGGTTCGTTCATACTATAATCAAGAGCTCACCACATGGTTGAAGAATCATCCAGGCCGGACTGTAACACATTTCCAATTTGCAGAGATTTTCAGCCCAGCATATATGAAAGCAGCCACTGTTAAGAACGCAACAAATGTTTTTTTTTTCAACATTCATTTGCCCCTTTAATGCAAATGTCTTTCCAGACTGGATGTTTTGCTCTGCCGAAGTATCCAGCGAGAACGGACGAAAGAAGTTGTTTCCATTGTTCTAGGACCATCACGTGTAATGAGTAATAAGGATGATTTTGATGAAATAGAGAAGTTGGAAGTATTTCTGTGGCAGAAATATCACCATTACCTAAAGTGTTAGCGTCACAGAGATAAAAATATGGAGTTATTAATATGACTTAGCCAAGCAGCTAGTTGCTGACAAGAAAGCGCAAGCACTAAGGAAATCCACCCGAGCTGCAAAAAAGGTCGTTATACCTGAAGAAGACTCTGAAAAGGATAGTAGCGATTCGGTGGATGATGTTGCATGTATATTTTGTAACGAATTATATTCCCGTTTCCGTGCGGGAGAAACATGGATACGATGTTTGAAATGGACCGAGACCGAATGCGCTGGCGAATCTAAAGCAACAAAAGTATTTGTTTGCGATATATGCCAACTTTAGTAGGTAGTTTTACACTATGTCATCTCATCAACAATTGTGTTGATGAGATGGCATATGAGAGTTTAAAAAAAAATTATAAAAAAAAAGTATGAAGTTTTTCGGAGTAATAAAGTTATGTTTTAATAAATCTGTCTGAAAAATCTGTTTTTCCGTTAATCAGCTGTCGCCCCCATACGAATGACAACTCTCAGAAATTGAGGAACTTGTGCGAGCTGAGGACTAACGAGGTCTTACCTTTTAACGTGTGATTCCTAACACGGTTGCAGAATCATTCCAGCTTCAACCAGATGAATTCTATTGGGAAAAATATCTGGTCGAGGCAGGAATCGAACCCACGACCTTCCGATCGTGAGTCGGGCGCACTGCCACCGCGGTCAATTCCACAATTCCAAATAGGTGTCTCAAGTGTTCATTTCACTCCTTACCAATTCTGTAATTTCAAGGTGCTACTAGTAATTAAGTATAGAAAAAAGTATGCCATCTCAGGCATATCTCCCCTACTAATATTGTGTGGTTTTGAAAGTTTTCTCCGTTTTTATGAGTCTACTTCAAAAATTGATATCTCAGTGAATACGTATTCAGTTTTATCGAAATAAGCGCCATCAGTGCACGTTCAATAATAATAATAATAAGTGCACTTTCAATAATAATAATAATAAATGCTTTTATTGAAAGGTTAGTCAGTACAAGAGATACTAACCTAACCTAACAAATGGCAGAATTCAACATCTGCATCACATGATAAATCAAGACAGATATTGCTCTTCCATCCAACCAGCCAACGTAACACAGATCGATTAATTCCATCAGCATGAAAATTGTGTACTCGGGATTCGATGAAGTTGACGAATGCCTTTTTTTGCCTGATCCTGATTGGCGAAGGTTCTACCGGCGAGAAAGTTATCGAAGTGCTTGAAAACATGGTAATCGTTTGGCGAGAGGTGTGGTAAGTATGGTGGGCGAAATAAAACTTCGATGCTCAATTAGTTTGATTTTCGGACGGTGATTTGTGAAACATGCGGACTCTACTGTAGTGATTTAGCCTGGTTGCACAAATTAAAATGAATCACACCTTGGTCTTTTTTAATTAATTAACACGCTTTTATCAGCTTCACCTGTATGAATGTTTGTTTGTTTGTAACTCTCAAGCTCGGGATCTGTATTTGACAGAATTATCGACGTTATTGCTTGATCTATTCGCGGGCAGATGACGCACGTAACCTCCATGATATAATTCGAACTCACTTTACATGCAATTTTTTATTAGAGAAAAGTATTTTTTTTATCAACACGCGCCTGCTGCCTTATTTGTAACCCTCCTATGCGCGCCCGCTGCCTTCCTTGGTCTTGGTAGCTAATTTTCAGGCTCCCTCTCTGGAATCGGAAAATATCAATGGCCATTTTTTTTTATAAACATTATACGGCTGATTGGTCCCAAAGTTTAGGTAAAATAAATATAGTTTAAAAAACTGAAAAGCACGCTTTCAAAGAACATCGAAGTAAAAAGTTAAAAATATTTTTGTTAAAAATAAGCTTTAAACAATAACGAACGAAAAATACTAGTATTATTGTGAAAAAAGCGTGGGCGCGTTGTGCCATATTTTTTGTATATCAAGCGTCCGTCGCTTTTTTCATAATAATACAAGTAGGTATTTTTCATTCGTTATTGTTTTAAGCTTATTTAAAAAAATATTTTCAACTTTTTAGTTCGATGTTCTTTGAAAGCGTGTTTTTTAGTTTTTTAAAACTATATTTATTTTGGTGGGTTTTAACATTTGAGAAGTGCCTGCAGGGCCGTCTTTAACCTATTGGAGGCCCTGGGCATAATAGGATAATGGGGCCCTTATGACTTTGACAGAACACTATTTTGTTAGAATAGATAAAAAAAGTAGATAAACAAGGTTGAATATTTAATTTCATTAACAATCACATAAAACGAATAGATAAATGTAACATAGTCCACGAAAGTAACTTAGCGGTGTGGAAAAATTACTTTAACAAAAATTTTTACTGAATTTCAATTATGAAACAAATACAATTAAGTATGAATTAAATATTGTTGCACTAGAAATTGCACTAAAGATGAAAACATATGCATATATTTAATTGTATTTTATTGTAATTTCTCAATTAAATTAATTGGTTGATTCAAACTTGGAGCTTCATACTTCGCTTCGTTTCTTCAATTTAAATGGGGTAAGTCACACTGATGAGTGTACCTACTGATGATTTTTCTTTGAAATGTGTATGTTTTTAGTATATCATTATATATTTGAATTTATCTAAGCATGCTGAAGTCGGAAAGCCTAAATTTTGGGCGAGAGTAGAATAGCTTCGCGCATGTAAAAGCTAGTAAGTTGGTATTGTAGTCAGTAGTTTAGGTTCGATTTCTACGAATTATATAATTTTTTTGGTAATAAATATTGGTTATTGTTTGGTGATCTGACAGGAACTAGGGATTTTTATTTGATCTGAGGGGGCCCCTATCGTTCGCGGGGCACTTGCCCAAAGTGCCCTTTGGGAAAGAGGACTTTGAGTGCCTGGGTTGCTCATCGATGTCCAACCACTGTCCTGAATGTTTCCTGTTGTCGTGAATTTCTGTGGATCCTGAGGTACCTACTTCTCGAGCTCGTTGATCTTTCCAATACGTTTTAAACAATTAAAAACGGTGTGGAAGCTGACGGAAAGTTCCTTCGCCATTCCATGCACCGTTTGTGATGAGTCACTCTCCACTAGGATCCTCGAATCCTCGTCCTGTATTACTGTAGGTCGACCACTTCGAGGCTCAACCTTGAGGCTGAAATCTCCGGAACGAAATATCGCAAATCAACGTCAAACAGTGTTTTCATTAACACTATCACTGCCAAGTGCCTGTTTAACTTTTCGAGTCGTTCTTTAGTGGAGGATCATATCAGCAGTCATCTTTACAAATTTGAACTGTTTCTGAATACATTTATTCTCACTGATATGCTTCCGTAAAAATATTTCTTTCTTCAATTTTTTTTATTCAAGTAATTCATGTGACATTAAATGGAAAACAACTGAGTTTCTACCTCCTTACACAAACATACATACCTGCGATCACATAACCAACCTCGTGAAGGGAAACAAATAGAAAAGGACGAAGAAATGCCCTTACCCCTTCCTTAATCGAAAGAAACATCCCTTGAGCGAATCTATTTTAATCGTCGAATCAGTATTTAGTACCCAAAATAGACTACCTTGTATATACTAGCCTCACGTTGCAATCCACGTTTAAACGCTGTCGAACAGGGAATACTCCACCACGACCAAGTCATTCTCATTGCACAGATAGCATTAGGCGTTGCATAATCGCGGCCGGCTAATACTTTTATTAGTTTATTGTGTTTGTAGGATCAAGTGTAGTGACCTTCTAGACCGATATGTTGATTTGTGATAGAAAAATGGCGCGGAACTAGTGGCCTGGCACCCTGTCACCCCCTAAAAGAGGTAGTGTTAAACAATTTTCATAAATGTTTCAATGAAATGTATACAACTTGGCATTCAATCATATGCTGAAAAGTTTTGTTCTTCTTGCAATACTCACTCACCTATAATTCAGAAAGATGATAAAATAAAACTAAGTTCATCCTTCCATGTTATACTCAGATATGCATTATTCTTTTCACTCACCACAACTAGAACGAATTTTTTCGAAGCAGTTTCGCTAACCAAGTCAGCATCATCAAGAGACGAGTAAAAGTATAAGTTGAGTAAAAATAACATTTTTTATTCATCTCCTGATGATCCCAACTTGGGTAGCGAAAAAATAATAAGATCCATTATACACTTGGGGTCCCAATTCCATCTACAATGAATATTACCAGTAATATTCATTACTACACCAAAGGTTTCAAACAGTGCATCATAAGTCCATCTACAATATCGAAAATACAATAATCAAACTTGAAATATTCAAGGGTTATCTCTGCACCCATTAACTCTCATCGGTGCAGAAAAGATCCGACCCAAACAGCGGTGCGCCTAGGACTCGATTGCATGTTGTTTGGGTCTGTCGGACACAATTCAATGTCCAGTGCGCTATTAGCCGGGGAAGTAGTTGTTTTCTGGCATGCATTTACCAGAACCTACTGTGTTTCGAAATATCATTTCGAAATATTTTATTTTTATTTGAATTGAAAGGTTTATATTTTAAGGAAAGATTTATTTTTGGGAAAGAAAGTTTTTGGCTTCCTACTACTCCATCTTGATACAAAAAATATGTTGGAATCTTCCAAAGAAAGAAGGAAGCGATCAATTTCAAAAGGAGTAACTCTATACATAGTTGTGTAGATCATGCAAAGAAGTAACACATATTTTTTAAATCAAGATGGAGTAGTAGAAAGCCGAAAACTTTTTACCAAAATTTAATTTTTCATTTGCAAAATTTTCAAAATTATGAGATTGCGCGCATTTTGATCTATTGAAGTTGGTTTATGTACGAGTTATATATCTTTATTTCCAGAAAAAGGAAACTATAATTCAAAGTGGAAAAACTGACTTTTGAAATCAAAATTTTATGATTTGCGTAAATATGAGAACACATTTGAGTACTGTGAAATTTTGTAAAGGCTGCCTAGCCCTTAACTGTTTCATCGTTTTTATGCTTGATGAAAATAATCAGTTCTGTATCATAAAAACATAATTATTAAGTATCAGTGTAATTAGTTTATATTTATTTGTTCTACTCAACGAACTCAACCTCAAAAAACAAAATTTAAACGCGTATATGTATGTGTGAATGAATGGTGTACATCTTGTGAATTATTTCAATGGAAGTGTCAACGTTTTTATTTCTCTCTCAATAATTAAATTTCACTTTTCATAGCTACGAACTTCTTTTGTTTGAAGGTGGTTGACAATGTTTCGTGGTGTATTTCATCAGTTCGGACTTCCATTGTCTAATATAATATAAAATAAATTGATTTGAAGTCCCTGAAAAAAATTAAAAAAGACTAACCGAAAATAACAATTTTATTGAATAAAAAACTGAAATTACAAAGGAATAACATACAAACAACAACCACAAACAACAACGAACTTCTTGTTTGCAATTCGAAAATTATTGAATAATAGCCAATACACGTTTAATAACGTGTTATTTACTATATTTTTCTACTGACATTATTTAATAGCAAAAAATTAAATTCATTTCACAGAAAAATAATGTTACTCTGTATTTATAATAAATTGTCTGCATAAAAGTTGGCATATTTCAAAGAACTGTCGAATAAAAACATAGATAGATTTAAAAAATTTCTGACTTAAATTTCCGTCACTAGGGAAGCTATAAAATACTCTAAGAATGTTTTACAATAGTAACTTTTCGATTGGCATTGAACTTCAATAATGGCAGACTCGTCAATTGCGACTATTTGGAAATTGCAATATTTTTTACTCTTTACTATCTCCAAAATAGAAGATGATTTCTGAAAATATATCAAAATCACCTTTTCTGAAATATTTCCTATATTCTTTTCACTATGTTTCGAACTTTTTGTACCCTAATCTTTGAATGGATACTTATTTGTATTCAATGTAAGCTGACAACAAGTTATTAGACAACAAGTTATTAGGCACTCAACATCAGGTGAATAAGAAAGTGGGAAGATAATGGTTTTCGACTCTTATACTGTTTAATAAATTTTTAAATAATATAGTAGTGTAATTCAGGAAGGAAAATCTCACTTTGCTGGTCATTAGGTATTTTTCACCAGTAGCCTCAGTCAGCCTCCGTGTTCACGGAGCCTTACGTCAAAATTTCTATCGGTTTGGCCTGTATATACTGCACAACATTCACCATACTTTTTTCTATATATACCTGATTTTTTCATTCTATCTCGTTTGGGTTTTGCATTAAACAGAGTTCTGCCTAAATTATTATTACTTATGAAAACTGTTGTTATTTTGTATTTTGAGAAGTAATTTTGAATATTTTCTGAAAGTTTACTTGAGTAGTTGATGCTACTAGACGTAACTTGTGTTCTCTGCAGTTTGGGTATAATTTACTTATAACTGTTGTATGAGTTTTACCTGATATTATTTTTTCTATTAGAGAAACTGGTACCTGGTACCTGATTGTTTACTGCAATTTGCTTAATTATTTTTAGTTCATCTTGGAAATTCTTCCCAGGTGAAGAGATTGCGAAAGCCTGTGTTCTTTTTCATTTCTTTGAAGTAATTGAAAAAAGATCGTAATATTTGAAGTTCATTTAATGAAAAAAAATTAATGAATTTTTTGTTGAAATTTCAAACTGTAATTGGTAGGTATAATGGTTTGAAAACAAAATGAGAGACAGCAGAAATTCTCCTTCAGTGGTATAAAATTGATAAGGTGAATTGAATAGTGTGTATTGATTCAAATTCTCCATATTTCGAAATAACATGACCAACGATAAGTGATCCTGAGAAAGAAAGAAAGAGGCATATGTATATTTAAAATGCATTGAAAAGACTTCCAGTGCATCCGGCCAACTGGAAAACCTTGACTTATATGCAAGCGTGTATTAAAGAATGTCATTTACCTTCTTCAGGTCAGGTGGACTGATATCGGATATATATATATATATATATATATATATATATATATAATTTCAGAGACTACCATGAAAATTGAGGGTAAATGATTTATCTCAAATTGCCATTTCTTATTCTAATATATAAAAATGGATGTTTGTCTGTTGGTTGGTTGGTACGTGATAAACTTCTACATCGCTCAACCGATCGTGATGAAACTTGACATGTATAGGTAATTTTTCATAGAGAAGGTTTTTAGGCTATCAGTTTTTCTGTAACTCGCCACTAGATGGCGCTATAGAACAATTTTTTGAAAGCACTGTTTTACAACGCCGCGCATGCATAAGTTCGTTGATTCTGATTCTGCCAAAACATTGAAACAGCAGCGATACAGCAACATAGTACTAATTAGTACTACAACTACCAAATTCTACACGGGCGAAGCCGCGGGCAACAACTAGTGTCTTATATTTCAAAATTCAGTAAATAAGGAAATTAATTTAAAGCACCTTGCGGCTAGTGAAAGTGAAACAGAGTTTGAATGATTTTACACTCGATACCAATTACAATCATACGAAAGAAAGAATTGAATGAATGACCTTTGCTCATTTGCAATGCAAATTATAATTGTATCTATCTACATCTCAATGATATAACTATGCATATGTGTGCTTCAATAGTTAGGCATATCTTCATTATTCCAAGTGACATCTATACAGTGACAGAATAGAGGATTCAGATTCTGTCCAGATATTCTGTCAACTATCCTGATCACTATTAGGGGAAAAAGGTTTAGATTCTTCAGGCGAAATTACCTTTCCAATGATCGTTCAAAGGTCATTTCCCGAATTAACGACTTATTGAAAAAAACCAAGAATCCAATATATTGCTTTGCTGACGACAGCACACTTGTCTCGTCATTCTATTTGGATTCCAGGACACCGGTTGCGGATGCACATCTTCACTGGCAGCAGGAGGTTGTATATCTCAATGAGGATCTAAAAGTGAATTCGAATTGGTGTGAAAGTAGCTAGGTTCACTTCAATGCCACAAAAACCCATGCATAGGTTCTCTCCAAAAACGTGAATGTCTTTGATCCTGATATAATAATGTCAGGACAGATAATTCCGCTTTCTGCTTCGATAAGTTTGTGGGAGATTAAAATGGACAGCAATATGTCTTGGCACAATCATGTCGCTGGAATTGCGGAGGCTGCTTCCAAAAACCTTTTAAACAGCCTCCTGTTCCAAACCAGAAAACTGTACACACCTCAGCAACTTTTGATGTTTTATAGAGTTCAGATCAAGATCTTTTAGTGGTATTATTCTCATGTTTGGAGCTCCCCCCCTAAGCATACCCTGGAGCTGCTGGATTCCATCTTGAAAAGAGCCATTCGCCTCATTGGAGACGCGAATATCACTTGTAACCTTGGTAGTCTGGAACATCGAAGAAAGGTTGGAGATTTGTCTCTCTTCTATAGAAACTTTCACGGGAAGTGTTCCGGTGACTTAGCACATTTGATACCACCAAGAGCGGTACGTATCAGAAATACGCGACGGACTGTGGCTGCTTATCGTTTTGAAGTTCAGCTCAGTACACCTCGACCTTCACTGTTCAAGAACATCGAAGAAAGGTTGGAGATTTGTCTCTCTTCTATAGATACTTTCACGGGAAGTGTTCAAGTGACTTGGCACCTTTGATACCACCAAGAGCGATACGTATTATCGTTTTGAGGTGCGTTTATGTGGAAAAAACTTCCTGAAAACGCTTTTTCAAGTGGATTTAATCTTCAGTGATTCAACAGTTTCCCGCAGTGCTTGTGTTTTGCCCTTAAACAAATCTTGCCGAAATGTTTAGACAGTAATTTTATTTACTATTCTCTATACCGTAGTCTTGCTTTTGATGTTGACAGAAATAAAATAATTCATTAAATATCTCATTAGAGTCAATATTATTGTACATAAAATTATAAATTCAAAGCAAGCATTGAATTCTGCCATGCTGCTTGTATCCGCCAGCTTCCAACGGTCACAGCTGCTGAAAGTGGTCCCCGTGCAATGCTGAATACAACCGGTGGATAAAATTAAAGCGATTCAAAAAGCTCTTTTATGTCATATCCAGACGTTTTGCGTCCTAGATTTAGCAATTACCGTCTATCACATTCTGTGACTCCAACCGCTGGAAGATGGTGAACGTGAGTAATTTGGGTTTTATTATGACATTTCCAATTAGTGTCACATCTGCAGTGACAAATTCTCCTATTCAATATGGCAGCATTTTCCACCATTTCGTTTTAATTTCACATTGATCTCATTGTTCTCATTAATTAGTAACTCAATTATCAGAAAATAAGTATTTTCAAATGAAATCTCTAATTATTCATCTCTCCCAACTACCTACCCCGCAGGTTCTGGTAGATGTGCCGGAAAATAACTCACAGATATTTCTCATTCAAATATAAATAAATCTCTCCTGGATACCGTCTTCAGACACTATTCAATTATCGTTTTTCGGTTAGTAGTGATCTGTGTATCAACAGAGTGTCAAAGTCTCCTATCTGTCATAAACTTCCATGGCGAGATAGTGGGCATAAATGAAATTTATCGTTAAACCATTAAAAGGGATTTGAATTGAGCTTCAACGGAATTCGTAGTGAGAAGAGGAATGAATTCATTTTCAGAAACTCGTAAATGAAGAATGAATGGAATGCTGCATTTCTTTGGATTTCTTCTTCAATGTTGACGGTTTTTGACAAAATACTTGACACAGGGAAGGGATTCAACCGATTGAGGTTTTTATTCATCTTGCTCCCAATTAATCCAGATAATTTGAGTTATACCTTGATATCAACAAATATAACCTATATCTACATTGAAATGTACTATTTTTCGCCACGATGTTTCTTCACTTTCGTCCGTCTCACGGATCATCATACGTTGAATGAACTGCATGTTCTGACATAACTGAATGTATCAATGTGATAAGTTAAGAATACGTCTCCGGATCGGTTATAAACCAGAAGAAGAAGAAGAATATATTTATTGAAATAGGTAACCCTAATATACAATATTATATAAAACATATTACTAACATAAAAAAAAAAAAAAATAATTAAAAAAAACTCAAAATGTAGATATAGTTCAAAATTGAAAATAAAAACTTCTAGTTTGAGAAATAACGACATACACTATTAAAAATACATTGCAATATAGAAGAAAACAACATACACATACTATATTTATTAATATCATCTTACCAGGTATTATTCTATCTAGCATTTTGGAAGGATTTCGATAACTGGTTTTTAAAAATACTTAATGATGGACTAGATTTAATTACATTGGGTAATTTATTATATGCATCAAACCCTTTGAAAAATAAAGAATTCATGGCACTTCTCCTATTTGTTCTGCATAAATGCAAATTAGTATGATTTCTTGTGGCATATTTGTGCACTTCTAAATTTAGACTAACAAATTCAGAAAAATATGAAGGTGATAAGTTATTCAGAATTTTATATATAAATGTCATAGTTAATTAATACAACCGTAAAGAAACTGGTAGCCACCGCAAAGTTTGTAACATGATTTCTATTTCAATGAATCTATTCACTTTTAGAACAATTCGCATACCGCGTTTTTGAAATTTTTGTAAGTGAGATGTTTGATTAAGATTAAACAAGAAAATAATAGAAGCACAGTAATCAAAATGTGGTTGGATAATCGCATTTTATATAGTAATTTCAGACTGAGTGAATAATTTACCAGAAATTCTTGCAAAGGAATATAGTTTTTCAGATATTTTTTACATATATAATCGAGATGATTGCCAAAAAGTAATAAATTATCCAACTGGAATCGAAGATATTTGATACATGACACAATTTCAATGTTTTCATTATCGATTTGTAGATTTACCTTATTTAAATCAAGGTTGTTCCATTTATATTTTGTTGACATAATCATTCTTTTAGTTTTCATTTTATTCAGTTTCAATTTATTTGCCATGAGGTACTCATTTACATCCTTTAATGCGGAATTCATTCTATCAATAGCTTTATCTAGGCTTGTATCGTAGCATGCATCATGCATGCATCATATATAAATAAATTTACAAAATCAACATTTATAAACAAGTTTATGTCATTCAAGTATAAGATGAAAAGCAGAGGTCCTAACACGCTACCTTGCGGCACACCTATATGTATATCCAATTCCTGTGAGATATTATCTGGAACTCTGACTTTATGCTTTCTATGGGATAAATAGTCAGACAACCATTGGTAAACAACACCATCAATGCTATAACCTCTTAATTTCATTAGAAAAATATTACGGTCAATTTTTTCAAAAGCCCTCTTCAAATCAAGTTACTACAAATGTATTCTTTTTTCTTTTTTTCTTTCTTCTTCTTTTTTGAATTTAGATAACGTGAGTTGTAATGCGAATTCACATGAATATTTTTTACGAAATCCAGATTGATTATTTAATGAAATTTCACTTTTTTCAACATGATCAAGTACCTGCTTATGAACAGCTAGTTCAAGAATTTTTTCTATTGGTGGTAATGTATTTATAGGTTTACATTCACTAGCCTTGATTGTATTGCTTACCTTTTGAATGGGAACTATAGACTATAGTACTAACTTTTAAAGAATTTGGAATTTTAGAAGTTTGAAGAGAAGTATTTACAAGGTTTAAAATTATATGTCCACATGTTTCGAAAACGACTTTGAGCATTTTGGAATTTAAGATCTCATGAACATTGTTTTTGTTGTCTAAGGAGTTAACAATTAGACGTAAGTCATTCATTGTTAATATGTGAAACATATTGATTCCAATAGAGATTCCAGAAAACTATAGTCCTAATATCGATGTGGCTTGTATACCATATCCTTTTGATACAAATTGGACGTTTATCATATAAGCGCAATGTTCAGACAAGATCTTTGCCAAATAACTATGAAATATCTGAGGGATGACGGTTTTATGATTGAAGAGGAGTGAATTATCGCCAAAAATTAACTAGCTTTCAAACCTTCAGGATTCTGACAGATACTTTGGAATTTGTAAGAAATATTGAGTTCAGGGATGGGTAATTCCTTTCTTTCATTTCCCCAATGAATCCGGTTTTATCATGAGAAATTACTAATAATAATAATAATAATGAATATATTTCTGTTGATAAGGTTGCCGTTTTTTTTGGAAATATACATTTTTTTTTCATAAAAACGAATATTAGAATTTCCAATTTCTGAGATGATAAAATCTATTAGCGTTTCGATAATAGTCCAACTATATTATTAACAATAACGATCGAAAAGGAAAAATTATTTAGCTTACGATTGTGTTCACTGCTGAATAATGGCAGTTTTGGAAACATGATAATCAGTCCTGTGAACAATTTTATATTAATTATTGCAACGTTACCTAATCACTCAAATGTTAGTATAATTCATAAATGAAATGGTTTTGGAAGAAATGAAAAAATATAATTGAACCATTTATTTCTAGATATCTCTTGTAAGTGAGTGGACGATATCGATTTCATATTTTTACTATGGAATCTGAATCTGGAACTACCACCACGAAAATTTCCGATTCAGGATACTCGAATAGCTGCAGCAACACCAATTCCCAGCGAAGGTAAGATCAAGGGTTAATTAAAAACAAGTACTTGATATGAACCCACTTTTATGTAATCGTTTAATGAAAAGCAGTGAGTTAGGTTGTCAGGAATTTGTTTTGCTTGTGAAAAGTTTTGAAGTATAAAAACCGACCATGAAAATTAAAAAAATGATTATACAGGAAAACACAGACATTTGAAATTTGCTCAAGAAAGTACTCTTATTGGGTTATAGAAAAATTTTTCGTGATTTTTTGCTTGTAACATAAAATAATAGTTGATTATTGAATTGGATCATAACTTGAAGTACACTTTATAGGTGATCACCATGAACATTATTTTGTGGAAACCAGGTTTTTTCATTCAAAATCCTTTTCATTTTCGCAACCAAGCTCTAGTTTCTTGTATTTCTTACTGAATTAAAATACAACTCTATAATGAACTATACTGAAATTCATTCTCGTCAAAAGTAGCCTTTGGTCTTTTTCATGATAAATATTACTAGGTAACCTAAATAATCATGAACTGAGCTTGGAATTGAAATTTCACATCGATGCTTGTTAATTGTTCAGTAATGAGAATTCAAGTAATTTTTGTTTTTGTCAGCAAGATATTCTTTTGGAACAATACCTGTATCTTTTCGGCATATGATCGACTAATAATGATAATAATAGCTGGTGGAAGAAACTACCAAGCACCCATCGTCTTCATTGAGCCACAATAAACCCTTGCGGGTTGCGGTGGAGGGTCGAATAAACCCACTCACTTTAGTCCTACCCTAACCCATCGTCATCTGGCCAGAGTTTTCAACACATGGCTAGAGGGAAAGCAGCAGATTCCGGAATGGTTTGTCAAGGGGCGGCCCGTTATTTTCCCCAAAAAGTGAGATCTGTCGATTCCTTAGAATTACAGAGCAATAACATGCTTGAATTCATGTTATAAATTGTTCACGAGCATAGCACACACGAATACTTTCCGCAGTTGACCGGAAATTCGGACGGATATCTGAGCACAGGAATCCAAGGAGAGAAGCCCACACTGTTAAGATAGTTGTTCTGATTATTCGCGTCCTTAGTGGAATTATGCCTTTATTACTCTCAAATCTCAAGATCATGCTTACTTGCCGCAATAAGGCAGAAATCTTGGCCGGGCAAATGCGGAAAGCTGTCAATCTTGAAGGATTGCGTCTGCTCAGAGCACATAATTCTCAGATCTAATGATCACTTCAAAATTCAAAACCGCCATTCTTGGTACGCTAGGATTAATACAGGTATATGATTCTGGATTCTGTCAAATGTGTTAGAACTTCGGGAATGGAGTCTGATCAACTACCGTATTTTAGGTCAAAGAAGGTAATATAATGATCATTCTTCGATAGAGTGAGAGAGTATATTGTTATTTTAACAATAAAAGTCACTCATCGAACTTTTCAAATATTCGGATCCAACCCTATATTCAGCGTAATTGTATTTTATGCTGATAATAATAATGAACGTCTCTCATTTCCATAAAAGTTACATATAAGTTTTGTAAGTATTAATTTTCATTGAACAGAACGAAATGCCAAGTTCAGACTCGATTTTTCCACTTATGAGTGGCACCATCGACAAAATGACCATATTCTACTTGCACTATTTTTGTTATATAAGTATCATGAGTATCAAATTAAATTTACTATTGGGGGGTTTTCAATGTAAATATTTGCTTAAAGTTAACTTCAAGAGAAATTCAAGTTTGAATTTAATATTTCAGTGCTAGTTCAAAATCGAGACACAGCGGGAGCAATTCAAGTGGAAGTAGCGGATACTGTGGAGCTACAGATCCCGATGGAAGGTAAGATACTTTTTTTCGGTTCATATAACGAATTTTTTTGAATAATTTTGACCTATCCCGAGTCCTGATGTTTCGTTTATACGATAGCAAAGAAGTGGCAGGAACTTCTCTTTATCTGTCGTTGAATTACTTTATCAAATGTAAACAGAATTAGTCTTAATATACTGCAGGAGTATAAAAATATAAATGTGAAAGTTTGTGAGGATGGATGTATGAATCTATGTTTGTGGCTTTTTCACGCCTTAACGATTGAACGGATTTAGATGTAACTTCACATAAATACAGCTTATACATCAGAATAATATGTAGGCTACAATTTACAAAGGTTTTATGTGATACAAAGAACCCACCTGCATATTTCAAGATTCTAGGTTCAGTAGCTTCGGCTGTACGTTAATATAAGAGTGTAAGTCACTAGATAGGTACCCACTTATACAATACTAGCTGCTATGGCTGGGATTGAATCAAATAGCCGTAACTGAAGCAGATTAACTTCTTTTAGTGACAAAGTAATCCTAGTTAGGTACCTATTGATTGACTAACACTCTTATATTAACGTACAGCCGAAGCTATTGAACCTAGAATCTTGAAATATGCAGGTGGGTTCTTTGTAAAGCGTAAATAAAAGAATTTCCACCCCCAAAGGGGAAAATAGGGGTTTACGGATTGTACTGAACTCCAGCAGTTCTGAAGTTTTGGATTAGTGAAAAAAATATTGTAACTATTTGTCTAAAATGGTCTGTCACGAAATTAGATGTGACAAATCGAATTCAACGAGGGCGAAGCCGCGGGCAACAATCAGTACCATATGCATGAGATATCTTGCAGTTTTACAGTTAGACTTTTGTTGCAGTTATTAAATTGCCACCATAAAGGATATTTTATGAAGTATTGCCAATTTCAAAGTTTTGTGTTTTCACCAGCCGTACTGGTAGTACTGTTGGAAGAAGACAGGCAATTCTCGAATAACTATCAGCAAATTCAACTACGACGAAATGGTTATGTCCGTAGACATTGATAAGTCCATGAAAATATTGATGCTGGAACGTAATGAAAAGAAAACAAAACAGGGGCAACCGTTTTAATAACTGGATGTGGAATAAGAGGAACAAAAACAGGAACATGTAAAGTTACTTTCACAAGTTCCAGATGAAGTAGATATCTTGAATAAATTCCAGGGAGTTATTCAAAACCTCGAATATCCAGACTGAACGATCAGAAGACACATTGTGTGATACAATAATTAAACAAATTAAAATATTCAATTCTTCTACTTCGATGTATAATTTTTGTCGGTACACTTCAGCTCAAAATAAAAAATCTGTTCATCAGTAATTACCAGAAGATAATTGTGAATACTAATAATCGAAACGTTGTGAATTAATTAGTTAGTCAAACAGAGATGTTAAATTCCATTAGCTAACCTAATAGAGTCGAAATTATGCCCTGTTGCAACTTGATCCTCATCAGCCCCTTTTTTAAATGAAACATGCAATTTTTGCACAAGATTATTTTGTCACTGAAAAAGGTTAATCTGCTCTACTTATGGCTATTTGATTCAATCCCAGCTATAAAAACTTCGTTTGAATTAAAAAGGGAAGGTACACGTTTTGGCTTTCTACTTCTCCATTCTTTAGAAAATAAAAAATTTGGGAAAATTTCGAAGAAACAAAGAACAAAATCAACATCGAAATGAACCCCTTGCAAAAATGCAAAAATATTCACAATAAACATTTTTATAAAAATATGTGGAGCATACAAGAAGTTTCTGTTAGAGAGAAACTGAAAGAAAAGGAGATTTCGGAACGATTACTTTCATAAAAACAATGAATTACATGAAAATCATTTTCACCCATTTATTTTGTACTCCCAGCATTTGACTGAAACATATATCTATAGGAACGCTACACAAGGTAATATATGAAGAAGTACTTAAATAAAATTTCACTTACAACAAATCTTTGTTGAAAAGTGTTATCTTTTCAATTCAAATTCAATTCACCTGAAGTGGATTATTGAAATTTTTTCATGTTTTTTAATGACTATTTTCTTTTATGCCAAACTATGTTCCCATTCCATTCTTTGTTCTAGTGTGTGCACTGGTGTACACTCATCAAAGCGCAACAAAGAGAAAGAACACAAAAAGAAAAAGTTCAAATCCACCAACTCCAACGGCAATCTTCCGACAATTCCTGCTTATGGTAGCACCATCGCTTCTTCAGAAAGCCGTACTCCAAATCAAAACGAGCAGCCCTCAGAATCAGCAATGGGTGAGTACTGATCAATCGATGAAATTGTTGTCAAATCGCAAATTACAAATCTACGACATTTTTGACATTTATCTCGGAATTATATTTTTCACAAATTTGATGTCAGAATTGAATGATTCTAATTTTTAACTTGGAAATTCCGGCTAGAAACTCTGAGTTATACTTTTTTGACTTTCAACTAGATACTACTGTCTTTAAACTCGAAATTTTAATGTTGTCTCATATTACCCAATCTAATCTGATCTAGCTACCCCAGGTGTCCTTCAAGGATCCAATCTTGGCCTCCTTCTGTTTCTCATATTCATGAATGACTCATGTCTTGTACTGCATTCTGGTCATTCTGTTTGCAGATGATCTGAACTTTGATTCAATAACTGACTTTGATAATTGTATCACACTTCAAAAGAGGTGACAGCATAATAGTTTTGCGGTTTCAAAATTGGGTGAATCTTGGTATTTTCAGATGTATTGTATGGTCGGTCGGTAGCCAAGCGGTTCGGCGTGGGTGCTTTGTTTACTCACTCGAATTGACTACCGTGTTGGTCGGTGGTTCAAGCCCTAGTCTGAACGATCGATCTGCACTTGCTATCGTCCAACCCGTGTTAGGAATCACACGTTAAAAGGTAAGACCTCGTTAATCCTTAGCTCGCACAAGTTTCGACTTCTGAGGGTTGTCGTTCGTAGGGGTGCAACAGCTGGTTAACGGAAAAACAGATTTTAAACAGATTTTTTTTAAAACAGATTTCACCGAAATCGTAACCCCAAAACTTTTGATTACTCAGTAAATAGTGCTCGAGAGATGTCTGGCTTTCAAAAATTTGGGAGTCATATTTGAAACTAAGTTCATCTTTGATGAATACATCAACAAAGCTTTTACGTTTTCGAAAATATAAGTTGGTTACTATTTACGAATCTGTTATAGTGTTTCTAGCATAGACAGTTTAAAAATACTATATCGTTCATTCATCAGAAGTAAACTGGAATATGCAACGCTTATCTGGTCACAATTTTACCAAAGTGTAATTTGACAGTACAGAGTATGTTCAGAGGAAATGTTCAGAGTATTTATTCAAATGTTATGATTGTTATCCGGAAAGAAGTTATGACTATTTGCTCCTTTAATCACTATATATAAATGTATCATTATTTTTGTATGAACTTTTAGTACAACACAATACATTTCAATATTTTCATTGAATTTTGCTATTCTCTAAGACAACGTAATGGATATGGATACATATTATTTTTGATTTTTCATAGGAGTTGACGCTGTTGTGCCTCCAACACCTGCGGAAGTAGCAGTACACGTGGATATTGTAGAGAACCAGACTGTTGAAAAACCTGATACAATCATATCCCAAGCTGAACCTGTTACAGGTAATTACATTTTTTTGGTGCCATCGAGAATGAGCCTTAAAACTGAAAACTGTAGTTAACATTTGCTTCATTTTCATATAACAATACATCACACCACTCACTATCAAGGGTTGATATCTGAATTCCACATTTCACTTAACAAAACAAGAATAACAAATATCCATAAGTCAAGGCAAATTCGATATTTTTGATTTTTTAGGACATTCGATATTTTTTACTTTTTAGGACCTTACTATTTGAGTTTTATCCATTCAAGGTTTATAATTATGATTTTACTATCATTTTATTGGCCGAGACCAAAACCCAGCCTGATGCTGCAGTATTTTTATTTGATTATTACTTTTTCAAAGAAAATTTGACTGACGGAAAAAGATATTTTCAAAGTGAATATTTTGAAAAGGCAGTCTGCCTGAAATCTTGAATATTTTTTATTTTTGATCACCAATCTTTGCCTACAATAATCTTTTAATTCTTGAACGACATTTTACTGCTTACTTATTAGGTACTTACCTGCTTACGTTCATGGTATGTCTTCACCTCGGTGGAGATAGCTGAAATGGTCGACCTGGGTGCATCATGTAGATAGGTTGAAGATGAACCTCAATGAGATGATACTTGCCACATCCTTCAATCATGTTGTCTTTCAACATGAACAATTAAGAATACAATTTTTACAGTAGTGTGATGATTCGTGGACTCGAAAGAACATTTGAATATGTGCCTACCAAGCGGGCCATAAACAGATGGAATTAGCTTATATTTGAAATAGCGATGGAACACGATAAATCACTGATTAGGGTTGGTGCAGAATGTGGATTACTCCTTGCAAATACTGTAAAACTCCTGAAGAGTTATGTCACTCAAAGATGCAAGATCTCCTCTACTTCGTTAAGTAAATTCGGTGAATAATATTTTCCTTCCACTTTACTCAGAAGAGGGACCAAATCATAGAGGACAGAAAAGTTTCTACAGTTCTACTTTTCAATTCACTTCATTGAGCTGCTGAACATCTGTCAATTAGACCTTGGTACAACTATGTAGTAAAAATAATGGTGGTAGATTCTTTGAAACTGGAAATATTTCGGACCAAAAGCATCAAGTAAATTCTGTTCATTCGTACAGTGTTGCCAAAGGAATTACATACAAAGTTTTCTGAGCTCATAACTATCATTTTGCATTTGCATTCATACAAATCATCAAAATAATACTGTACCTGAACCTAAATATGTCAGTATCTAACCTAAGTTGACTAATTAGATTTTTATATCGACATCTTTCCAATAATTTAGATTTGATTTCTATACAAACCTTCAGAAACACAAAATGCTTTACATAAATAGTCCAGAAAAATACATTTGCTGAAGTAAAATCACTAACAGTCATTCATAAGTACACTGTCCATTGCATAACCTGCACGTAGTACAATTCTAATGCTCATCTAATCTCTCACACTGAATTCGATTTTGGTGTGAGGCTATAGATATAACACATTGTGTGTGGTATTTCCCACTTTTTCACGTTAGCGGAAACCCCACCCCCCGATGAAAATCTCTCTTATTGGAAGGAGGAAAATCAACAAGAGCCCGTTGCGGAACAGCCGATAGAGAATGTGGAAGTCAATGTGCAAACGACCAGAGTTCAGTCACATCAGCCCGAGGTGAGTTTTCCTTTTGCATTTGTGGGGACATATTTATTATTTGTATTCGAATATTATTAACGAGTGAAGTTGTAGATTGAAGAGTTCATAAGATAGTCTAGGATCTAGGAGACACCCTAAACAATATAATAACATATACTCACACTCACGATTTTTTTGATCTATCGAAAGCTTTCGACTCAATCAATACTCATTATTAAAATCAATATACTAAGTGAACTGGGTTTCCGTGGCAAATTTCTTTCGTTGCTGGCTTCATATCTTGAGGTCAGTAAAATTATTGTAAGAATTGACAATCAGAGATTTCTCCCACATGATATGGAGGCTGGTGTACCTCAAAGATCGATTCTTGGTCCGCTACTTTTTCTACTATATTCAAATGATCTTTCCAAATACGTCAGCACTATACAACTAATTCTATATGCTGATGATACCACTTTAGCAATGGAAGCAGAAACGTCTGAAGAGCTCATTGCAAAAAAAGGAAGTAATTCCTGCATATCCGTGATATTAGCCAAGGCAGTAGTTGTTTTCTGATAGGTGTCAGTCCATCAACCTACAGTGAAGGAAGTTGAGACTGGTCTGAACGAATTCCTTTAGATGATTTGATTTATAGCCAGTCTTCAAGTATGCTCACTGATTATATTTGAAAATGTCCGCCACGGCTTCTCTGGGTGGAGCGCATTCGGAACGTCCAATTTTCCATGACTCTTGCGTAATAATCAGGATAAATTTGACCAATGGCATAAGTTATATTGGCTTTGAGTATCACTTTGGTTTGTGTTTTATTCGCATACACCTGCGATTTTAAAAAAAAGTCTAACAGGGCCTAAATGCACGATCTCGGTGGCCAGTTCACAACACCTCCACTGAATTTGCTTTGATTTTACTAATAAGAACGCTACAATTAGTTACTCATAATGCACATTTCAAGATGCGCTGAAAGTTTACTAGCGTTGAGATGACACTTTGGTGACATACTAGTATCTGTTTCTGTTAAAATATGTTTTTTCCGTTAACCAGCTATTTCCCCCCTACGAACGACAATCCTTAAAAGTCGAATCTTGTGGAATTTAAGAATTAACGAGATCTTGCCTTTTAACGTGCGATATTTATTCAGTAGATATCTTGTATGTCGCAAAATTGGATCCACTTTTTCATTGCTTCCTTTCATTGATTTCAGGATGGTTTCTGTTGCGTGATTTCTATGTACGATGGAGTAGTGTTATATACAACCCCAAGTTTGACTGCGGTTTTGGGATTCCCAAAAGACATGTGGTTGGGGAGGTCTTTCATTGATTTCGTTCACCCGAAAGATAGAGAGACGTTTTCTAGTCAAGTAACCACAGGAATTGCTTTTCCATTGGTAGATTCCGAAGGAACATATAAGGGTAAGTTTTCAACCTACATGACATAATATTCCAAATATTTCAAATTCCGACTTTTCATGAAGTTCATATTTTTTACAGAATATAAAAACTGCCTTTATGTGTGCCTCAGAAAATATAGAGGACTGAAATCATCAGGTTTCAGAGTTGTTGAAAAAGCTGTTTCCTATCAGGCTTTTCAACTGACTGTGAAATTCAAGCAAGTGACCAATGTTACGGAAAACAACTATACAGAAAACAACACAGGGATGTTTCTAGTTGTTATTGCAGTGCCTGTGTACACATCCTACAAAGGTGAGATATTTAAGATACATGTGAGTGGGCCTGATATCGCTTAATTTTGCCGATTGGACGAAACAAAATTCGTGCTGGTAGATCATGGTCGAAAAAAACTCGTTGGGCGAAACGTTTCGTCTCCTACTGCGGAAGACATCTTCAGTGGTATGGACGTTGACTGTTCACTCGTATTTATAATTTTGGAGGGTGATATTGGTGATGGTGATGATGGCAGAGATGTTGGTTGATGTTGTTGATAGGAACACTACTGGTGGAATGTCGGTTGGAGTTTTAGTTAATTTCTGGTCTTCTTGAGTACTGGATACCACGTTCTGCTGACCCGTATACCTTCTTTTTTCTTGTCGAAATTGATGGGATGTTTATAGATCTCGTTGGCCTTCCTATGAAGGCGTGCGTAGTGATGCGTTGAATCAGAAAGGACAGCAGTTTTTCAGTATTTCATTGCTAGAACATGTTCTGCAATGGCGGATTCCACCGGTTCTCTACGTTTGCTAATTCTTATATAAACTGAGCCACAGAAACAGGGAGTCCTGTGAACACTGGCGAATGTCGGAAGCTGTTTTCGAACGATTTGATGGTATTGCGTAGCTAACTAATTAATTAGGTGAAAATAAACGCAGCTGCCGTCTTATGCAACTGGAGAAAACCGCGATTGCAGAACATGTTCTAGTAAAAACATACCACATGATAAAATACGGAGAAACTGCTGTCCTATCCAATTCAACGCATCACCACGCACCACTTCATAGGAAGACAATTGAGATCTGTAAGCATCCCAACAATTTCAACAAGAAAGTAGAAGGTATACGGGACATTAGAACGCGGTACCCAGTACTCAAGAAAGCCAGAAGAAAGCTAATCGACATCCAAAAAGCAGCGTACTTGTCAACAATATGGACCATTCAGAGCAACCCAACAAAATTACGAATCAATAAGTATATAGTGAGCAATCACGTGGACACTCCCGTCAAAAAACATCCCACTGATGATACCTACTTCTATAGCAAGCGAAACATGTGGGACCACTGACTACCAGCGATGATTTTGTTTTCCAGAATCGTAACTTCGGCCGTGAAAGCCTATGTTCCCATATTGTTGATTTTGTCATTTTTCAATTTAATCGACGGTATGTTTTTCAGTGCCCGACGAAAGAAGAAGGTCTCAGAAATTTGGAATGCGTCATACGGCTTCATGTATTTTCAGTCATGTTGATCCCGATGTAGTGACCAATTTCGGATTTCTTCCTCAGGATATGTTGGGAAAATCTATTTTCGATTTCTATCATCCAGAAGATATGCCTTTTCTTAAAGAAATTTACGAGTCTGGTGAGCTCATTTACCCACTATGTAGTCTATGTTACTCGCTGTTACTTTCCATTTGTGAAATAATTTTTCAAATCGGTTAGTTAGTTTATATTCAGTTTGTACGCTGAATATTCGTGATGGAATTCAAACAGATATCACAGGAGTATTGATATAAAGTTACACTTACGTGATAATTGATATATGATGGAATCGGCCGATACTTGATGAAAATCCATAACTAACGTATTCCAAAAATACTTTATTGTGAGATTTTCACTAAATTGTTTTACAAAAACGTTTTTGTAAAACAATTTAGTGAAAATCTCACAATAAAGTGTTTTTGGAATACGTTACGTGATAATTTATCATCTTCATGATGTACTCGTTTCGGGCCAACTTTTCTTCAACTTCTCGTCAGCAACGTTCTCAGTTTAGAAGACGAAAAGCACGCATTTCTCGGACAATATAGTGACAGTACGTAAAAATATTCTTGCGATTAGTTGTAATTTTTCAAAGAGAATAATTTTTGGGGGAGAGCTTTTTGGTTTTTTCCTTTCTATCTTTATTCCAGGAATGTAACTTCCTTAGAATGAAAGAAGGTATTCAAGTTCAAAATAAACTCTTTACAAGGATGTGTAGGTCATGTAAGGAAGTTTGTTTGAAAAAAAGTCCATTTTTCAATTTGAACGAAATTTCTGAGGCCGGGAATAAATCAAATAATCGCATGAATGTTTATAAATACTGTGTATCAATGTCTCGTGACATAAGGTCGTAATGTTCTATAGTAGATAAAGTTGTTGATGAGGAGTTGAAGACAAGAGTTTTGACAAGAATCCTCGAGAAGTGCCCGTTAAATATGATATATTTCAATGTAAATGAAATTTTATATTCATTTAATGTTGTTTAGAATTCCTATTTCATTTTTATAATTAATGTTCAGCATGAAAACTGAATAAAATAAAGTGATTTTTATGTGATTCAATGTTTGTATGTTGTAGTTGTTTCGAATGGAATTTTTCTTCCAGTTTGTATCCGAAAGAAACTCCTGTGCATAATCTAAACATCTTTGTAAAAAGTTTAATTTGGATTCGAGTACTTCACACATTTTTCTCATAAAGACGGAGAAGTAAAAGTCCAACATTCTTCTTTCCAAAAATTGATCTCTCCTAAAATATCTCTTTTCTAATTTGTATCCATCTTGTTTTTATATCTATTCAAATATATAAATTAAGAATCTATCTTTTCACCATTTAAATTTAAATTTCTATTCTAAATATATCGAATCTAGGTTAGGTTAGGTCTGAAGTGAGTGGGTCTTTTCGACCCTCCATCGCAACCTGCAAGGGTTTATGGTGGCTCACACCTATTCACACCTGGTTCGTTCCCCAGCGGGGCAGGCACAAAGTATGTGCTCTGCTGTTTCATTATTCTCCAAACAGAGGCCATACACACTGTCTTCCCGCAGTCCGAGTCTCTACATATGATGATTCAAATGACAAAGACCTGTAAGAAGGTCTGTTAGACATCGTAGTTCATCCCTACTGTAGTCCAACAACTGTTTGGTATCAAGCTTCGAAGGGTGAATAAACGCCTTGGAGTGAGCCAATCCTGGAAAATTCTGCCAGAAGTCCATGAATCTTCTTGCCATCCAGGTGTTCAATATTTTTTTGACAAAGCCTAAAGCGATGCTAATGACGGGTTCTGATCCGATGAAGCTGCTTGCAACACCCTCCTTTGCAAGGGAGTCTGCAGCCTGATTGCCTTCTAGGCCAGTATTGCCAGGAACCCAGACCAGAGACAATTTGTTGAGTCGAGGAGAGTCGTTTTTGGAAATTTGCTACCGATTTAGACGTTGCTCTGCAGGAGCCAAGAGCTTCCAACGCCGCTTGGAAGTTTGGCTATCAAATCTAACATGTTGTAGGTTTTATATATTCGCAAAAGTAAAAAGATACTCTGTAGCTTCACTTGTATTAGAATTACTATTGAAACTTTCTTTTTGATATTTTTTCGAATATAATAATGATGGTCTCTTATTTTCAGTGATGCGTATGTGCCAAATTGCTGGATCAGTGTTCCGTAGTAAGCCTTATAGATTTGCAGTACAAAATGGCGGCTTTGCCATGATAGAAACGGAATGGTCGAGTTTTGTAAATCCTTGGTCTAGGAGATTGGAATTTGTTATTGGCTTCCATAGAGTTTTGCAGGTTCGTTATTCATGATTTTGAAGGGTACAATTTTAAATGCAGCAGTAAAAAAATTCTGCGTCAAACGGGTTAATTTTATCAGTTGTGTGTTGTAAGTTGAATGACGCTAGAATGAAAAATCAATGTCTTTTCAGGGACCTAATAATCCAGATATATTTGAAACTAGAAAGGATGACGAACATAAAGATGTGTCGGAGGAAGTTTTGAAAGAAAGCAAACTTATTCGAGGAGAAATACTTCTTTTACTCAAGAAAGTGAGTATTTCCGATTTATTTTTGTTTAGTAATTCGTTGAAATGAAAAGGTGATTAGTTCAAACATTTGATAAACTAAATTTTACCGATCAGTTTTTCTTTCTCATTCGAAAAAACTATTTTATTTTTTCTGACATTGTGTGAAACTGTAATGTCAAAAATGTGTTGGATACGGAATTAAAAACCTCTGAAATGAGGTGTTACTCATTCCTATTTGAAATTTTCGACATGTAGTTTGTTATAGGAAGGTTGTGGTTGATAAAGGGATGGTTTTTATGTAGAAATATGTTTTCCGGAAAACTGAAGTTTATATGTTTCATTATTTCCCACACTTAATATCCAATGACTCAATTAGGGTGGATTGTTTCTCTGTGGAATAAAATTCAAAATGTATCATGATTCAATTATCCATAAAAAACTAGATATACATCATTTCACAAATTTCTAGGAATTACCTCGCACTACAGAAGCGGCAAAACATGAAGTTTCTAAACGTTGCAAAGACTTGGCCAATTTTATGGAGTCCCTGATGGACGAAGTGAATAATTCGAATTTGGAAATAGACTTACCGCAAGAATTAGATCCTACCATTTCGGTAAGTTTGAAAAGGAGGGTGAGTGTCATTTTTTATTTTTATTTTCTCACGCTTCCAAATGAATACTAAAGAAAAAGTCGATCGCTAATACAAGGTGAGGGGTTGAAAGTACTCACCCGGAAAAGAATCCAATACATATAACATCATAATATAGGTACAATTATTTATTTAAAAATGATTGTATTGCGTTTTTTCAGCTTGGGTTGGGGTCTCGGTTTTCTGAATGTGACTGGTGTTTTCAGGTATGAGGACGTTTTATTCATTCAAAAATAAAATGAAATAATACTGCCTTCTCACTAATTTTTCCCTAATCGCTTTCTGCATGAGTTAACATTATTAATTTTTTTCATTCAAACATATTTTTTCATCATGTCAGATTAAAAACTTGAAATGATTGTAGATATCAAGAAAAATTTGGTTGACCCATACAAAGGTGTTCAGTTCAATTATTATAAAATGCTGTGTGATATTTAGGAAGTATCACTTCATGTTGAAAGTTTTTTGAAGTTTTGATCAATTGTTATGAAAATTAGGTAACACTAAAAGATATGCATCGATAATAATTGTAGGATATAGTTGGAAATTTCATGGTAGGTTAGGTTAGGTTTAAAGTGAGTGGGTCTATTCGAGCCTTAACCGCAACCCGCAAGGGTTTATTGTGGCTTAAACCTATTCACACTCGACCAAATAAACCCAGCTTCTTAACGAAGGTAATTAGTTTGTATGGTGAGTGGTCTTTCAGGTCAGATGGTAAGAGTACGATTCTGCCGAACTCTAAAAACTTGATTCGGTCCCCAGCGGGGCAGGCACAAAGTATATGCTCTGCTGTTCCATCACTTTCCAAACAGAGGCGACACACACTGTCTTCCGACAGTCCGAGTCTCTGCATATGATGATTCAAATAACAGTGACCTGTAAGAAGGCCTGTTAGACATCGTAGTTCAACAACTACGACTGTTTGGTATCAAGCTTCGAAGGGTGAATAAACGCCTTGGAGAGAGCCAATCCTGGAAGATTCTGCCCAAAGTCCATAAATCTTCTTGCCATCCAGGTGTTCAATGTTTGTTTGGCAAAGCCTAAAGCGATGCCAATGACAGGTTCTGGTCCGATGAAGCTGCTTACAGCACCTTCTTTTGCAAGCGAGTCGGCAGCTTCATTGCCTTTGAGGCCAGTATGACCAGGAATCCAGACCAGCGACAATCTGTTAAATCGTTTTTGGCAATTTGCTACCAATTTAGACGTTGCTCGGCATGGACCAAGAACTTCCAACGCCGCTTGACTGTCCGAGAATATTTTTTTTGACTCGTGTATGAGATTAGATTTATCTAATCTCTCGCACACAATTCAATAGCGTGAATCTCCGCTTGAAATACAGTCGCATGAGTTCCTACGCAGGCAGATATCTCTGTCCTGGATCTGCGACTAAAAACACCTGCACCAGAACCGGAAGGTGTTTTTTATCCATCTGTGAACCAATAATTATCTGCTCTTAATATTTCCCTTCTCCCAGTCCTCTCTACTCGGGAATAGTACTTTATGAGGCAGTTTGTAGTTGACAGTTGGAGACATAAAGTCAGAGGTCATTTCCAGAATGCTGTGACTTCCAGTGTCAACCAACAGTCTGTTGGTTGACACAGTTTTTTCAAACAGATTTTTTTTAAACAATCATCACATGAATCCCAAGTTTTACCACAAATCCTTCGACATGTCCATAGAGACAGTCTGGCTTTGTGTACAACTTTTTCCAAGTGAGCGTTCCTGGTGAGTCTTTTATCAAGGACAATGCCATGATATTTGAGCTCCGTTCCTAATGGAAAGACCTCACCATTGAGGAAAAGTGGCGTTAGATCGTCCAATTTTCTCCTCCTGGTGAAGGGGATTAACACAGTTTTGCTGGAGTTGATAGACATCTGCTGACAGACTTCGACAAATTGTTAGACCATTACTAAAAAGAATCTCAGTTGATTCCAATGAAGATGAAATGTTTTTTCCAATGTAACTTCTCACATTGATCTGCGTGAAAAGAAGAAATAATAAGAAAATATTGGCATTTAGTGATATATTATATCTGGATCCAACGGATCCAAACACATCCCCTTCGTCCAATCACCAGAATTGCATTACTCTTTCCGACGCGCGTTTCACCAACCAAGTTGACATCTTCAGTTTTTTTCATCTCCTGAGGACGCCAACTTGGAAGGTGAAACGCTCGTTGAGAAGACTATTGAAGTTAGGTCGATTGGAAAATGTGCATGTTTTGAATTTATTCTACGCCAGTTTTATCTGTTTATTCACAGCAATTTATCTCAGAATCATTGTATTCAATTTGAATAAACGATAATTTGAAGGTTCTGTGTCAAAAAATATCTATTGGCCGAACTGTTCATACACTTTGAAACAGGCAAGGTTATATTTCATGAACAGAAAATGCTTTTATGAAACATTGAGACAAAGTACTTGATATCTACCGATCATTTGCAGTTTGCGATCTGAATCAATGAGCACAATAACAGTTTTTGTTCATTACTTTGAATTTTAGGAAAGAGATTCTGTTATGCTTGGCGAGATCTCTCCACACCATGATTACTGCGATAGTAAATCGTCTTCCGAAACGCCTCCCAGCTACAATCAATTAAACTATAATGAAAATATACAAAGATTTTTCCATAGTAAGCCTAAAACCACAGTTTCGGATGGAAGTAATGGAGCTATGCAGGGCGAAACTGAGCAGGAGACCAAACCAGTCCAGGATTGTTCTAATAACCAGTAAGTTGACAGTTTGATGTTCACTGTTTTTGATACATAAATTCATATATTCCACTGGTTTATTCCAAATGATTCTCTGGGAAACTTCAGTCTATCGACATAATATATAAAACTAATAATACATCAAAACTGCTGTGACAAATGATACGTTAGAATTTTGTTGAAAATTGTTTCTTTTCAAACCTCTATTGAATAATTATTATAGAATAAGATTTGAATTATTGGAATCTCCAAACTACATCTAATAGTATTTCCTATGAAACGTTTTTTACTCGAACGAGGGCAATCGCTTTAACAAACGATGATCGACTATGCGTTGCTAGAAGTAATTGATAAAAATATCTTCACACTGAAGTTATGAAGACAATAAATTAGAAATCATTTTTTAACATCTTGCAATCAAAAAACAGCAAAAAATCCCACAACTGAAAGACATTGAATTTGCATTTATGCTGTCATGAGTATTTTATATTTGTGGACTCGATATTAACTTTTTCTATTGATAGACAAGAAAAGAGTAGAACATTAGAGTAATTTTTGAATAAGAACGTCCACTAGGATTCAATTGGTGATTTATACCTATTTATTGTAGATATAGTACCTTTAAACTTTACGGTAGATGCAGAAGTTAGTAGATTTATTTTTCCAAAGGAACTTTGGAAACGAATTCAATTTTTCATATACATTCTATTCATTTTTGTGTATTATTTTGTGTATTATATAAATGGCCATCTTATAAATTTTCAATTTTTCAGAAAATGCCTGTCTCCAGTACAAAACAGTGGCACTTCTGGAAGCAGAAGTGCTGGAAATTTGAGCTCTGTGAGCAATCCAAATATTGAAACTGGCACTACAAGTATCACACACAATTCCAATGATTCCTATAAACCTCCTCATTTAACTGAATCTGTTTTATTTCGGTAAGTACTCATTTTTCACATCAGCAAAATATAATTGAACAGGGGTTCTTTTTCTAAACATACTAATTGCAACTATGAAAACCAAAGCACGAAAACGACATATCCGTGATCTGATATCCAACAACACTGTCGAATACTGAATCTATGGAATCTATTGAAAACTTGAATTTGGTTAACTCAAAATGAACAAGGGTCTCCGACGGACATCCGTCAAATAAAACCAAACGATTCAGCTTTTATTAAAAATATTTGTCAACGGATACTACTTAAGTGCGGGTACCGTTATACACTACCGTGAGAAGTCGATGTATGTTCTATAAATTTCAAGCTTCGCAGAGAATTGACATTACTCTACAGTCACTATTTGGTCTAGGTCAGAGGTGTCAAACTCAATTTTGCAGAGGGCCATATATAAAATTTCGAATGTGTAGGTGGGCCATTTTATTCATTCAATTATATGGTATATAATATACCATTGGTAAAAATCACATCAAAGTTATAGAAGACGGTAAATATTTTGAGTTCGAGGATCCAGATACCTGACTTCTCTTGTTTTTGACAAGCTCATTGATGACAGGTACCATATTCGTGGTAATAATTTTGTAATATTTGTAATATTTATTTTCATGACAGAAAACATCTGCTCACATATATTTCTAATGCAATAATAAAACTTGATTTCAGGGCATCGTCGCTCTCAATATGAGCATTAGTAAACATGGACTGTTGACCTTAACGTTTAGATTTTGAAGATGGCAATGTGTCCATTTAAATTTTTTCAGTGTAACAATCAAATTTTGATTTATTATTAGTATCATAGTGTCTCTTCAAGCTAAACTCCTTACAAACAGCAACTGTTTGATTGCAAATCAAACACAGTGGCTTACCTTTCCATTCTATCGAAAAATATGCAATTTCCCATTTAGACTGAAAAACTCTGCACTTACTATCAACTTTACAGTTTTGTGACATCATGCCAAAATCGTAACAATTATGGAACTCGACATAACATTTATGTCTCACATATAGTCATTGGGCATACTTGAAGACTGGCTATAAATCAAATCATCTGAAATCTAAAAGAGCAATTCGTTCAGGCCGGTCTCAACTCCCTACACTGTAGGTTAATGGACTGGCACCTATCAGAAAAAAACTACTACCCTGGCTAATATTCCTGCATATGCTGTTGGCGATACAACTGCCGCAATAGATTTTCAATCATTGGAACAACCCGAAACCGGTCTGCAAGTGTGTTCCATTAATTGAAAATCTATTACGGCAGTTGTATCGCCAACAGCATATGCAGGAAAAACTTCAGTGAAGAATCCTACACTGACCCCTGTCGGATATAATCCAATGCCCTTCGTGGTATTAGCCAGGGAAGTAGTTGTTTTCTGATAGGTGTCAGTCCAGTAACCTACAGTTTAGGGAGTTGAGACTGGCTTGAACGAATTGTTCTTTTAGATGATTTGATTTATAGCCAGTCTTCAAGTTTGCCTACTGACTATATATGAGAAGTTTTCTTTCCTTATACGAGGAATTGGGCAAATTTCGGACATGCAGTTGGTTACCTCGTTCACAGGCAGATGGAGCGATGACAAACCTCTTATTGTCTGCTTCAGCTTAGTTCGAGGAATGCTACTCTGAAGGAATTCGATTTTCAATTATCGGAAATCATCGACTTTATGTTGATGTGGCCAAACATCCCGAAACCGGTCTGCAGATGTGTTCCAATAATTGAAAATATATTGCGGCAGTTGTATCGCCAACAGCATATGCAGGAATAACTTCAGTAAAGAATCCTGCACTGACACCTGTCGGATATAATCCAACGCCTTTCGTGGTATTAACCAGGGGAGTATTTGTTTTCTGATAGGTGTCAGTCCATTAACTTACAGTGTAGGGAGTTGACCCTGGCCTGAACGAATTGTTCTTTTAGGTGTTGTGATAACAATTATGGATATTGCACGCGCACGACACAAACAAATGCATAATACCTTCATAATCACTAGACTACAATCACTACTTCGCAGTACAACTAGAATCCTTCTTCGACCGTATTGCTTCGATTACTCGACTCAACAGACTCACGTCGCGCCGACACACTCTTTTTATATCGATAAAGAAGGTTCTAGCCTAGACTGTAAGCGCGTGGAAGATTCTATTGTTCTCTACCGCTTGTTGCTAAGAGATGGCGTTACTGTCTCCGATTGAGTTGTTTACTAGAACTGAATAGGTACGTAACTAACACTCTCTCGCTTCTCTAGGCACTCGCTTCTTTGTGTGACACATTGCGATCGCGGGCCGTAGTGATACAACACCGTATGTGGTCTAGGTGTTATGGAGCATGATGAGCCAAACGCTGAATGAACCTTGTGTCGACTATTACCGAGTACTCGTAATGGTGTTTGGAAATACCGGACTGACATTTTCAACGGGTTGAGTTAAACAAGATCTATTTGTAATATTTCTATCACCAACATATTTCCAATGGGAAGTCGACAATGGTCAAATATCAATAATTGCCTACTGTGAAGTTCTCTTTCATTTATAACTCAGTATATTCATGCAAGGCGGCTGTTATCAATATAAGATTTTTCGTCGGGGATTCACTTTCATATTAGATGAAAAGGAATTTTTTGTTAACTCCATCAGGACTCTTTCACACGGGGAGTTTCGCGTCTGTCGCTCCTATACGAGAGCGTTTATCACTCCTACCTTCCGCATGAAAAGGCTCCCGGTGGCTCCTTGAGGTCAGTCGTAGAATAGATTGCACGCGAGCTGTTTGCATATGCCTTTGGGAAATCTACTTTGAACACCTTGCAGACTTCCACCCACATTTTTACGACTTCATTTCGGTCCTTATCCTAAAGAGCGGGTCGATTGCGGACATCACTAATTCACAACTCTACATCGTAATCTGCCATGATAAATAGTGTGAAGCGTCAATTAGGGAGAACCGTTTGAGGAGGAGACGTGGCTCTCCGGCTCGAGCTGCAGGATAAAGAGCGGGTCGATTGCAGACATCACTAATTAACAGCTCTACATCGTAATCTGCCATGATAAATAGTGTGAAGCGTCAATTAGGGAGAACCGTATGAGGAGGAGACGTGGCTCTCCGGCTCGAGCTGCAGGGGACGTGAGAGCTCTCGTCTCCCGAGACGTGGGGGCTACCGATCTCTGTCTGAAGCTCTCGGGAGAGAGAGACGTGAAGCTCCCCTTGTGCGTTTTTATAAAGGAAGTCATGCGCAGTCGTTTGCGACATCCCACTTACTTACTTTACTAAACCTTGCAGACTTCCAACCACATTTTTACGACGTCATTTCGGTCCTTATCCTAAAGAGCGGGTCGATTGCAGACATCACTAATTAACAGCTCTACATCGTAATCTGCCATGATAAATAGTGTGAAGCGTCAATTAGGGAGAACCGTTTGAGGAGGAGACGTGGCTCTCCGGCTCGAGCTGCAGGGGACGTGAGAGCTCTCGTCTCCCGAGACGTGGCGGCTACCGATCTCTGTCTGAAGCTCTCGGGAGAGAGAGACGTGAAGCTCCCCTTGTGCGTTTTTATAAAGGAAGTCATGCGCAGTCGTTTGCGACATCCCACTTACTTACTTTACTACAGTTTCGTCCTACAACGACATTCTCAAACAAATACAATGAACTTTATTGTATTTGTTTGGAAATGTCCTCGTAGGAAAAACCGCGGTAACGTGAGTTATAAATAATAGTGATGGCCTCCTACCACGTAGTAACAACACATCCATCCATTAGGTTTTCAATGAGTTTTTGATCCGTACAGGTGGAGTACGTAAATTTGTATCTACATTATACTAAATAATAGAAATTAAAATGAAAATTGGTTGTTTTTTGAACATGAGGGGTTTCTCAATAGACATATTCAATTTCAATCAAAGATAATTTTTGTTTTAGGCACAATGAGGATATGGAGAAAATAATGCTAAGAAAACATAGAGAACAGAGATCCAATAACAAAGAGAATAAAAAGTCTCATCATAAGTTGGAAAAGTCAAATTTCACGGAGAGAAACGACTTCGATAAAAATGAGGTAGGTGAGACCAAACCAAATAATGAATCAACATTAAATATTTTGTTGATTTCAGCAAATCCTTGCTGGGTATACACATGGCATCAAACGAAGTGGCTCTCATACTGGTGATGGAGATAATCATAAGGTGTCCAAATATAAACATCAGAGTGGGGTGTCCAATCACAAAGATGACATTAGTCACAACAAAAATAGCAATCCACCACCTTCAAGACCGAATCACATCCTGAACCAACCGAAGCCACCCAGTATGCCTGTTAATGACACTATTTATCGAATAGGAGTAAGTTTTGATGTATACTCAGTACAAGATTCAGTGTTAGATAGGGAATTGATAGCTTTTTCCAAATTATTTTCGCGCGCATTTTCGAATATTTGCTTTCTACGGGCTTCTATTGAGAGAATTTGGACTTTTCCCATAATTAGCACCAGGTTCAACTGATGATCAGAACGATGTACCAAATCATTACCTAATATCTAATATTCGTAGAATTTTCATTTTTCATGAATACCAAGATGAGTTATTATGAGTAAATTGTTAAAAATTTAGGTGTGATTTAAATCGTGTAAATACTGTAAATAACCGAGCCTATATATATAGGCTTTTAAATACTACGCGAGTAGTATTTATGTGGCTATGTAGCTCGGCAGTTATTAACATAATCTACCCAGATCATTGGACTAATGTCCATAGATGTACTTCCAAAAAAGTACTAAAAGTAATAATATCTATTTTGCAGCTGAATGACGTCAATCTTTGGCCTCCGTTTTCCGTAACAGTGACTCCGATGAACAATACACAACCTTGTGATATGAATACATCTCCAGGAAATGCCGGAGGGTTTGCTGCTGGCATGTTTCCTGTGTATTACGTTCCTACACCCCAAAGACCTATTGCTGGACAATTCATGGATCCCGGACTGGGTTCAATGAATTCTTCAAGGTATCAAGGTAAGACGTTACTTATTGACTTTTATTCCGATAAAATACTATAGATTCATAGTTCAAGAAAAGGATGATACGAGGACAAAATGTAGAGAAAATTGAATAAGAGATGACGAAAGAAAAATATTATAATTTGGTAAACTTCAACGTTATTTACTCATCAAAATTGCCGTTTGCAATAACCAAGATAAAGTTTCCATTTTATTTTCATCCATATACTACTGAAATTGTCTCGACTTCGCTTTTTTCATCCCTACAACCCATAGGAAAAGAACATTTCTCAGAACGAGCACTCGAATCAATTCTTCTATTGTTGGCATTCTAGAAATGAACTGACTTTTTATCTACCAAATTCTAGAACAAACATATTACTCAAGTCAATAGTAGTTGCAATGAGTAAACTCTACAATCAACTCTGTGAAAATCTCGACATTTATTATGAACCTATTGGTCAAGTTAAGAAATTTTCACACTCTAGTCAAAATACATGAGCCTAACTTGAAAGTTACTCTACCATGTGAGCAAAAAAAAATTATTTATAAACATTCTTCTTCCGCAACATAACTAATGCTTATATTAATTCAATTTTCTCTTATCTCTCTACTCCCTTCTTGAAAAAATGTTATTGAAAGTAAAAGAAAAAAGGGGAGTACATAGAGAAACGGAATATTGGTTTCTACGAAAATCAAGAAAAACACTTCTGAAAGAAGTAGGAAGTCCTTGTACCTCTAATGTTATGTTATGATTTATGTGATGTGCAAAAATTGAATTTAATTTTAATGAATGTTTCAGTTCAATATATGCCGGCCGGCATGATCTACAACTACAACAATGCCATTTATCCTCCATCACCAATTATCTGTTCAACCTTACCAGTCCTTCAAGTACCTGTGGTACCCCCTATCAGTTCGATACCACTCATGAACCCATCCGACACTCGGCAGATGGGAAACTTGCAGCAAGTGAGCAATGCAGAAAGTAGTTCTCACGTACAGCTTGAACACAAACCTAGCACTCCTCACACCCCTCAGTTCCAAAGGCCAGCATCTCAGGCTACTTCTGTTAAGGCCGAACCAGGCAGTGGTATGGGATCTATTGCTTCTGCTAGTGTTGCGAATAAGGTTAGGTTTTTAAAAATTGAACAGTGGGAATTTTCGCAGTTGACGATCAAAGATATTTTCTGGGTTTCTTGGCCATGGTCTAATGGTTTCGATGTTCTCATGGCACATACTAAAATAACAGACAGTATGTGCTCTGAGCACAACTGAAGGCATGAAAAACCGTGAACTGAGGCCAACAATTCCGGACGAAAGCTTTGAAGTACATTGAAGATTTTCAACTTTCTACCAGTTGTATTTTCTGTATTTATGAACCTTATTTTAGGCCTTATCGGAATGTTCTCGAAAAGATTTGGCGCTGCAGTCGGACTGCTCTCCTTGTTCGACATTAGTTAGTCCACCAGATGGCGAAATGCAGTTATACATACAAAAGGTTATTTTGTGTGTTATGTGCTGTCATGTTTCTTCTTAGATCATGTCCTTCAATAGATCAATAGTCTGGTCCGTTAGAAGTACACAATTACCATGACTCATTTCGAAGCTCAAGTTGAAAATTTCATTTTCAGTGAAAGAAAAGTAACTTATTCAAGTGATATTCCATTTTGTTGATATTGATACGAATGAACATTCATATCATTTATGACCAACCTGTTACTAACCAGACCAGACTGTGAATCTATCTGTGTTCGTTATTTCTGTGTCGTCTCATTTTGGTGTTGAAGAAATTAGTTTATAATGAAGACCTCGTAACATTCCATAGATTTTTAACAGAGAGTTGATAATTTTTTAAAGTTCAAAGTTCTGAAGTAAAAAGTGCAAATATTCATCAGTTAACTAGTCTAGTGATCCAATGATTCATTTTCAGAAAGGTTGGTTGGGTAACAGGATCAATTATTGGTGTTTTCAACGTTTCGAGTTCGATTGAATTCTTCTTCTTTGCTTGAGAAACAATATTTACGTGTTGAACATATACCTTAAAAAACATTTGACATTAAATACTTAACGCAAAATAAAAACCACAGTGGCAACAAAATATTCAAGACCAACACACAATAACAGTTTCAGTCCTGCTATTTGAAGATTACAACCAATTTATAGTTAGCTAAACGCGCGTCGAGAAAAAAATGCTCTAGTTTTGGTGTTTGACAACTTTTTTTATTGGAAATCTAACAGCCTTTCTGATTGTATATACACGTGATGAAAAATATTGAACGATATCCAATGAAACTTTTTTACAATTTCAACTTATATTCAGAGATAAGATGTTTTTCAGCATCTCTTCGGATGTTTTTTGACCGGCTAATTGTAGATCAAAATAGTAAAATTCACTATTATTGATTTCTTTCGAAAATTCAAAGTCTAATTGGTCTAAAAACATGAATACGTCGAATAGTATATCAATATTTGTTTTGTATTTCTCAGAACCTTGTCTTTAATGGATGTAGTTAAGAACTCTGTGTGATTTATATGTTTTCAATAGACTTTTCACTTTCAGAATGCTAAACCCGTAGAGACTAAAAGGAACATCGTCTTCAGGAATAATATTAATATCGAGTCTAGCAGCTGTTACTCATCCTCTTATTCATCGTTTTTGAAAACTGATGCTGGCTCAGGATCCAATGATGATTCCAGTACAACAGATAACAAAATAAATGAGAGTGATAATGAGGTGAGTGGCAGAATTTTTAGTTCAACTATTTTGTCCTTTACAACTTTCACTTTATCCTTTTCAGTATATCCCCTCCACTATACCTGTTTTATTCGAATTTGCCACTCTTCAGAATAGTGGTTCAAGTCATGTTCACAGTCTCCGTAAAAGCTACGAATACTGTGAAGGAAAAGGTTTTCTTTAACAGCTTCCACTGTATCACTGGTTCCTTTCAAAGCTTCTTTCACTTTCGAAATAATAAAAAGTAGAAATATCACAAGGAGCTAGATCTGGCTAGTAGAGTCGATGTTTCAACACAGGAAGCACATGCTTGGCCAGAAATGTGCAATATGTGCAGTGTGGGCTGAAGCATTGTCCTCATAAAGCATCCACACTCCACACCTCTTTTCAAACTCGCTCACGGAGAGTGGCTAGAACCTCAAGATGATATTATTTGATCACTGTTTGTCCTGCTTTCACGAAAAACTCCATAAATGTCGAAAAAACTAATCATCATTGCCTTGAATTTTGATTTACACATTCGAGCTTTTTCAGTCGTGGTGAATCACAAGTAAAATCCATGATTCGTCACATGTAATAACTCTTTTCAGCAGTTTGGGATTTTTCTTGATTTTTTCGAAATGTCAGAACAAATTTCCATTCGTCCTTTTCAGGCGCGAGAATTTTACGCCCCATGTAGGAGCACATTTTTTTCATAATGAAATATTCATGTTATATGAACTGCACGGATACACAAAACAGTGATTTTGAGGGATTTGAAGAATGTTGAAAGATGTCCTATGTGTGGTTCACCTTCAATGTCTTCCCGCCCTTCTTTGAAACGTTTATACTTCATCAGTTCAGACTTCCATTGTCTAATATAATATAAATTGATTTGAACACCCTGAAAAAAACAATTGAAAAATTAATAAGATTAACCGAAAATAACAATTTCATTAAACAAAAAACTGAAATTACAAAGAATTAACATACTACACCGTTACAGCCAGTTATCACCCGAAGACGATTGTCTTCGAAACGTCGTGAGATAACTTGGTTTGAAATCTGTTTTATTTTTCATTTTTTGTACATAATAATTTTCAATTTTTATTTTTTCAGCTTTTAATAACATTTCAATTTTTATTTGTTTGGTTGTTGCTTGTATGTTAATTCTTTGTAATTTCAGTTTTTTGTTTGATAAAATTGTTATTTTCGGTTAATCTTATTAATTTTTCAATTGTTTTCAGGGTTCTCAAATCAATTTATATTATATTAGACAATGGAAGTCCGAACTGATGAAATACACCACGAAACATTGTCAACCACCTTCAAACAAACGTTTATACTACTCAAAAACCTGTGTATGTGACATACATTAATCTCCACACAGTTGTGAAAGAGTATAAGTCTCGGTCGCGGATTTACTGAAAAATTTCACATTGACATGTTGCACAATTGAAACGTCTACAATTTTTCCGACGAGCGGCAGATAAAAGGTCCGACACGAACAATGTATGTCCCAACTGAGCAAGCTAGTGTAGTCCAACCGGCTGTATTGTGGAGAATATATGTGAAGCGACTCGGTTATATGGCGTTTGACCATGAGACCAGTCCCATTATTCTTTAAGCACACATGACATTATTTGATAAATCTGATAATCCCACAACTACACAGTGAAAACCTTTGCACCTATAAGCTAGACAGAATGAGGTCTTAAGAATATCCTGTGATGTTATATATGGGTAGTAGCCAAGAAATTTCGATTAGCGTTGTTCTGAATTCTGTGAATGATATTTTTATATATTGTTGGTACATTGCATCCATGCAGGCTTTACATGTATGGAGACAATGACTTCACAACAAAAAAACATCACAGGGGACGCTTTGCTAGCCTATCAGACAACTTTATGGTACATTTTTGGTGATAAACATGCAAATTTGTTTTTTTTCCTCAGAATACCTGGAAAGGGCGGAGAAATTATCCGATCAGGAAAAAGGAACCTCCTTGGCAGGAGACCGTGGCAGTATCTCCAGATCTCATTTACAGGTATCAAATGACTGTTAAAGATATTGAAGACATCCTGCAGGCAGATATGAATACGCTCAAAAATTTAACTCAGGTGAGAGAAGAAAGATAATTTCCCAATATACAATTGCACAATACATCTGATAATATTATTGAACACGTATGGAAGGAAAGAATATTGGCGGAACTAGGGGGATCTAGGGTAGGCTTAACCCCCTAGAGCTACGGTTAGCCCCTTCTAGAAGAATAAAAGAAATCTATGGTCACACTAGCACATTAAAACAAATTTTCCCATTGAAAGAATTTGCAACAAAACAAGTTCTGGGCAGCAGACAACACGATTTCAATGAGTGTCGGTCTCTTCCATTAATAAATAAAGTGACTAGGAATACTTTTTTTATACTGGGAACCTTTTTAAATGGCTTGACTCTACATTCTGTGTTGATGTGCTTTTCAGTGCTGATAAAGTACCTGATTATGATATCCAGTGATTTTATTAATTTGTGTGTGTGTGTTTTTTATATGTCCAAGATTTATTCTGATTAAGCTGGAGTAATTCATCAAACTGACAATTGATTAAAGAAGTAAAATGTTTACTATTTAAAAAAAATTCTTTTGTTTTCGAATAGCCCTTCACTGATTGTTTGGCAAAAGTAATATCGAGATTGCAATTTAGGACCATTATAAAATCAAAACAGTTTCATCCACCCCCCATAGCTTACTAAAGGGTATCCTATTCTCTCAAGCTACTGGGGGTTGTAGCCCCCTAGACTTTCATCTTAGTTACGTCAATGGAAATTAATATTGAAATTGAAAAACATCAAAAAGTCCAAAGTGTACATGAAAGCTTATGACGAAATAATGTTAACTAACTCAAAGGTTCTCACGGATAAAGTATGATGAGCTGTTTTCTCGGGTTTCACTTCGTTTTCTGGGTATTTTATCCTAGTAAGGATTATTCTCACAACATTTTGGCAAATTCTCATTTGCCATCTTCTGGTGATGTCTGGAGTTTTTAGTTGAAAAACTCCGCGCATGTCCTCCGTCGTCAGTAGACGCGACGCGTAATGGCTTACTGCGTTGCGTCAAGTTAATCTTATCATAATAATTTTTGAACGATTCGTCCAAATTACTTAGTGTAACAAAGTTTATCTATATTAAATACGTGAAACGACAATTGCATTAATTTTTATAAGAATTTGACAGATATTCTAAAATGTGCATTGTAAAAACAGTATCCAATTTAATTGTATTTATGGCTCAGTATTTTGCATATAGCGGCTATAACATAGGAGGTGCTATCACGAACTTTTATTCAGAACTATTCGAGATGAACAATCTTACGGCTCATTATTTGCATGTAACTCCAACGGTATAGGCAGTGCATGCCATAATAGCTCTCAGGGAGCAAGAATTTTTCCGACTTGATTCTCACCAACTAACTAAACTGTTTCAAAGACGATTTTGAAAAAAAATTTGGCATAGTACTTGATTTCAATGAATCAACTTATTTGGATATATCAAAAAGAAGTAACGATGTTTTTGGAAAATCACAATCTTTATTTATTGATTATGATATAAAATATGTCAGCTGAATTAAATGAATATGAAAGTGAACAAAATGAAAATTATTAGTGAATGAATGAAAATAATTGAGAAATTATATAAAGGAAACCATAAATATCACAAATTAGTGTATAGAAATGTTCAGCTGTTTTATGGAATATCTTTGTCGTCAAATATTTGAAAAACATTTTCATGCAATTTTTCTGCAATACTGATAGTATTGCAGAGTGCAATACTGACTATTACTAGCAAGCCAAGATTTTTCAGAATCATAGTTTTGATTTGGGAAAAACAGTTCAATAAGTCATGAATGAGAACCCAGAGTTTTAGTAAAAACACAACATTTTAACTTATAATGCACAAAATATGAAAGGAAAAGTAGTTATTTCGGAATGGTTGGTACCTGAAGAATATAATGTGCTTATTTATCATATTTTATTGATATTCATTCATGCTTGAGCAAGTTATTATCTCATGCGCGATTTGGTAAAAGGTTAAAGTTCATCAAATATTTGATTTCAGCCGATGCAAGTAAATGATCAGTTGAATCAGCTCTACCTAGATATGGAACTGGAGGGATTATCGAAAAAACTATTTATCGAAGAGGGTATTACATCCAGCAGTAGTAGCAGCGATGAAAACACTGGTCATAAAATGAAGGTAATCTTTGATGAATTTCCTCTATGTCATTCATTTACAAACGTAGAAGCTACAAAATTTTATACTTTAATTTTCAGTGTTTTTATTTGATGCTATCATATTTTTTCACCGGAGTTGTTAAATAGGCATGATGTATTATCAAATGTTGAGTTTGGTTTCCAAAAATCTAAAGATTGAAATAATGCAACGTTCAATCTTCAACTGATTGGAGCCTGACACGTGTTTCAGCAATAAGTTTCAGTTTGTTGAAGTAGATGGCAGAATATCTGTTATGAACTGTATTAATAGTACTTGGTCTGGTTATATTCTTGATGGTTTTTTTAATATCAATAACAACAATAATGATTTGTTCGATTGATGACCTATTTATTTTGTAGAAATTCATATGGAATATAGGATAAGGAAAATAACTTTTGCCTAATTTCTACAAAGTTTTTTATTTATTACGACGGGTTCCAGTTTGTTGAAACATTCTCAAGTGAACTGATACTTTTTGTCACAAGTCCTTAAATATACAATGATACAGGCAGGTACTTGTGATAGGTACCTGGTCAGGCACCTTTGGAGAAGATTTAAAAAGTGTTGAATGAGTGTCATTGTGTCTAGAATTTATATGATTCTCTAGAACATATATTTGAACCTGACTTATTGAACCTATATATTCTGTGACTGGAAAGCATACATAATTTCATAATATCTTCATGAATATCTTAATTTTTTTAATTTTTTCAATTTATAATGTTATTTTCTCACTGTCCTTTTTCTCTAATGCTTACTGTTGTGATGAACTTTTTTTATTGAGTTTTTTTTTCAGCCAAAGAAAAAGAGGAAGTCTATCAGCTCCCTTATGATGATTTACGAGGAAAATGCACCCTTTCCTCCTCCACAGGATAAATATGAGTAACTGGAATCATCTGGTCGAGTCAATTTATACACAATTTCTATTTTTATACCAGTCATATTTTAAAAAAGAAACAGAAACTTATTGAGAATTAAGGATATAAAAGTATTTTTTTAAACGTGATTTGTACATATTCGAAAATTTTGATGTTGAGCTAATGTTAAGGACATTTTTGAATTCTTTTATATTCTACAGTATTGTTATAGTGAATCTATCAATAGAATTTTTGTAAACTTATATAAATATCGTATCTATTATATTTAGTAAACTGTTTCAATATAATAAGTTGATTTTTTTCAAAGCCCAGTTTCCGAAAATAGAAAGATGTGGTATAGATAACGAAGTCTATTACCTGAATTTTCAAGATTATAAATTTCTTCACATACTTTCTTCAGACCAGGACTATCAAAGATGAAACGATCATCTGATAAAATTAGCAAAGACCAAACTTTTTACTGGGCCTGTATTAGGACTATCGTTACGATGAAGAACAATCATTCAAAAGTGGAAGGTGCAAATAAAAAAGTACCACCCAATTGACAATGTGTAAGTAAAATGAATTATCACCTCATTTATTCATTACAAAATTCTTAGAGGAAATTTGGGCTCATTCGAAGTAGTGAAAAGTGTTTATAATTCAACAAAAATTTTTATATGGAAGAGATATGGTTTTTTACCAATTTGTGAAATTTTGTGCTGAATGTTTGATGTTCAGGGCTATTAAAATTGCAGTTTTTGCCTACTTTAGAGTATCTTTGAATGATAGGAGTGATTTAACTCTTTTGTTCTGAAATGCAATTTTTCGGTATATCTTCTGTATTTACTGAGATATTGAAAATCTGCCGAAATTTTCTCATATGTTTTTTCAATCAGCATCAGAATATGTTTATAAAACTTGTATTCAAAGTTTTGTCTGGTGTGGACCACCCGCAACTTAAAAATTTCAGATAAGAAACTTTTTTCAGTCGCAGTTTTTTTGCGGTTTATTTCTACAGAATGACGAATAAGGCATTCAAAACTGTAAAATCACCAAGAGCGGTGCTTGAGCGAAAGTGGCGATTCATTTTGAATTCAATTCGATGTAGATAATGTTCATTACAAAAGCGATATCGGGAAGTTTATTCTATGAGGTTTTCTTCTTCCGACTAGAAGAGGTCTTGAAAAGTGTTACTCTGGGAGTATTAAGTTGTACCTCTGAGAGATGAGATGAATGATCCAAAATACCAAGATTACTTAGGTATGACGATTGCGAATGGCTTTCATCTGCACTATACAGGGTGTTACTAAATAAGTGTAAAACATTCAAGGAGGTGATTCCTTATCGAAAAAAAAGATAAGATCTTTCATATAAAGAAATTTCGTTGGAACATCCATACACTTAAAGGGGTACATAAAATTTGTATAACAATTTTTTTCACAAGCACTAAAAAAGCTACAATATTGAAATTAACCTGACTTTTTGTACTACCAAAAAAACACTTAGCCAGAAATTTAATTGGTTTACCACATGGTTGCAAGGGGTGGAAAACGCAAACCCTAAAATTTATTTCCAATGTAACTTTGTAACGGTCTAAATTTACTTGTAAATATTGTAGATATTGTTCGTTTATTTACTATGGAATCGACAGAATTGTCATTTATTGATGACGAACTTTTCGTCACAGCTAGGGACACATCTGGTTTGTCAGTGTGCCCGACCTACATTTTCAAAGAAGTTGTTACGTTTCAATTTAGCACTAGATCAAACTGCTCTTAT